AGCAGGATTCCAGTCAAACCAGTGAGTTTGGCGGTTTTAACACATCATCTTACATGGAAAAAAAACTTTTTAATTTTGCCGACACGCATGGCTACGGCGACGCGCACGCAGACCAGAAACCGGAGCCTTCTTTTTGGCCTTAGCGAAGACAGTCTAAAACGTCCTGTCAAATCATGGCACCTGGTGTGCTGTCATTTTTAAGAAGAGTGGTGTTTTTTTTTATCAGTTTCAAACACGTCATGGTTGGCTGACCAGCAATGGGAAAAACTGTTTGTTTTTTGTTTGTTTGTTTTTAAATACTTCCCCCAATTAACCATATTTAGTTAGTCCGAATTTTGTAATTCGCAATTAATTACACATCTATGAACGGGTAGAAGCCAGCTAGACCGGTTCCCTGACCTTATACAATTCCCTGACATCTATAAATTGCTCCGTTTTATCTTAAGTGGGGTCAAGGAACCAGAATACAGGAACATGATTGTTTTTCTTGGTTTGTCCAGGATCTACGAACACAAAACTTCAAACAAGACAGTGTAACAATATTTGCTATAAATACTAAACCCCAAATCCATCGTTTCTGAAAATTACAGGAAAGCAAATGTTGTGTATTCTTTGCAACACAAGCATTCCATGATGTTTCCATAACATGAAAATTTCATTGGTGTTTTTATTGAGTAAACCTTTATCTACCATAACATAGTTATTCCACTAAATTCTTGCAAGAAACTTCACAGACTTTTATCACTGTGTCTTGAAAATGTATGCCTTAAAACGTAACATCTGTAATGGTTGTTCACAGCAGTGAACTCAACATGTGGAAATGGATCTTCGTGTAATTTTATAGTTGGTTTTGCATGTTTTCCTGAAATTGTAAACTGATATTGTGAAACAGAAAGTTGCTCGATATAGTCACTGACTGGGCAAATTCCACTCTGGATTTAATCTGAGGCCTGATTTTCATTGTGGATTTTGTTGGAGACATTTTAATCTCTTTGGATTTGAACAGTTTAATTAAATCAAATATTGAATCAAGAATTATTTAATCATTCTGTAGTCCAACCTACTCATTTCTTTTGCCCTTCTGTCAATTGGGTGCTTGTCTTTTGTTGTAAAGGGAAACCACGTTTGAATGAATTTTCAACACGTCACTTCTAATCTTTATGTAAAATTTCTATTTCAGGGCAGCTGCAACCCTCTTTAAAAGGCTTTTATTTTGGATTAATTTTGTGCACAAACAAATGCACAATGCAAGGAGACTCCTTCCTAGCATTTACATTATTGATCGCGATAGGGACAGCTAGGAACCAGTTAAACATACGAGGAGCTAATCATGGTTTGATGGCAAATCATTCATAATTTGTGGGGTAATTTTTCCAAAACTGAATGTTGGGGGAGCAATTTTCTCCATTTGATGTATCATGTAGAAGTGAGTTAAAAAAAAATTATCCAAAAAAACCTTTTGTTTCCTTGGTCAAACCTTTGATTTGAAGGAAAAACTTGAAAAGAGCACTCATTTAGTGATGAGTTTCACAAGATAACTTTCAGACCCTAATCTAACACATGAGCTGAAAGTAGATTGACAACTAGGTTGCAATTCTTAAGAACTGTACTCATGTCAAATCTGCACTTTTTTTTAGACATAGTGTCTCGGACTAGACAAGTGATGACATAAAGAAATATCAACACGAAAATAGCCCAACCAGCCTTAATATATGAGCAGTAATCTGATTTGAAGGCTTCTTGCTCTGGGAATTTAAGAAAATTTGATATTTTTTTCCTGACTAATTCCAATTTTGTCTATTGTATTCTTAACTCCCACATTGCCCCCCCCCCCCCCAAAAAAAACCCCTTACAAACCTTTGATTTTGCATCTGGAACCCTCCTAGGAAAAGTTTTACTTTGGATTACTTTTGTAGCTCTAATAACAGAAAAATAAAATATACATTCTTCCATGCTATCACGAAACTGAATCACTATTGGGCGACAAACAACTGAAAAATATAATATAATTAAAAATAAAGTCAGTCAAATTCTGAGGGCAGTGCTTTATTCAAAAGTGAACAAAAGATTGCTATTGAAAAAAAAAATTGAAAACACTTTTTTTTTATTAGGCTGAAATTTGAAAATAACCAGGGCTGCTTAGTCCCATAATAGCATTGGTGACTTCTGATTCCATTTTTGTGGGCTGGGGCACCAGGGTCATGGAAACACTGACTGCTATTTATGCACAGGAACCTGCATTGATGTGTGCATCAATGTACGTACAGTATGTACAAGTGGACTCAGTCCAAAAGCTTCTAAATATAGAACTGGGAATTTACGCACTGTGTGCAATCATATTTAAGTATTCATGTACACATGTACATGTACAGTGCATTGCATACACATCAAACGGTGAACTGCCTACGGAAGTTGTGCGCCATCTTTCAGTAGAAGGATAGTTTCAAATTTTCCTTTTAAACCAACAAAAAGACTTCAATTCAGGTAAGATACTTCACGTTGCACCGTTGTTGTACTCATATTACATGGCATTTGTCAAGAATCTTGGAGTAATTGCCAGTACCGATATGTGCAGCATTGGTCTTACAAGAGGGAGTAGTCAATGCTCAAATGCAATACTCTTTGAAAAAAATTCTCTGTTGTCAGTCTACCGGCTTGAGAGGCATATCATTGATCCTACATTTGAGCCTCCAATAAAAGTTTAACAATTGAACAAAGAACTTGATAAAGTGGGACTATAACCTGCATATTACTGGATCAACACACAACTGATATATCCCAGACCAGCCCTATGTTGGCGGTTCCCCAATTTGAAAATGTCTTTATTCAAGGGGCACTATAGACAGAAGCCGTGAATATCTAAAATGCCATGCAGCCAGGGATCATGCCCAAAGTCACGTTAGCACTGCTCTTTTTGTTTTTCTTATCTGTTTTTTCCTATATATGCTTTATCATGATTTTCTCAATGCTATATTGTATTTTGGTTGTGGCTGACTAGATATAAATGTTAAGTATTGTTTTCAATGGAACCAAAAAAAGGGGGAGGGAGGGCCATGCACCTCAGTCTGCACGCGCTCTCCTATGCAACACTAAATTGGGGGGCGGGAATTAATAAATTAAAAACAATTAGTTCCCCTCCAGGGCTTGGGGCTGCCTAAGTTTATTTCAATGCTTTGAATTAATAAAATATTACGAAAACAAAATTTACAACATTTGTTTCTATTAGTAACGAAGAGTAGGAACACAAACTTTTGGGGGAGCTAAACTTATTTTTTGGGAGTCTAATTGCAAGTGCCTCCCCGCACATTGGAGTTTTGTCAATCAACTGAATTAATTAGATATTACAATTCTTAAGTCGCACCACGAAATAACGTATCTTGATTTTTGGCCAAATTTAGTTTATACATAGGAAACAGGAAGTGGAAATTCTGCTCATCTTGTTTTCATGCACATTACTATGTGTTGCAACAATACATACAAGATCTTAATACTTGTTTTAATTGGAAGTGACAAGAAAGTGGTAGTGTTTCAATTATTAGCAAATCCTTTCATCAATACATGTAAGAGGGCGCTATTTTGCTTTGGTCACAAAAAGGCACTTGTTGTCATCAGTGCATATGAACAGTACAAAAATTAGTCCTTAAAAATTACCCACAAAAAAGGTTTTGAAGAAATATTGGCCACTGCAATTGTCCAAACAAGCCATTTCCAGAACAGGATAAAGAAGTAAAAAGTGGAACCTACTCCAAGAAAATGAAAGAAAGTTTGATATAACGGTGCACAAATTTGTGCACTACTGTTCTGCTTTGAATAACATCATGCTTTGGCTCATGAATATGAAATGTCATTAGCATAAAAACTAAAATGTCGAATTTCCCCCACAAAGGAGGTGGAAAATTATAGTTACATGGCAAGAAAGCTGTCTTAAATGTATTAAACCCATAAAAAATCATAAAAATCCTATTACATGTTCCCTTTTAAACGATTTTATTTCATTAAAAGTGCTAATTCTCATAAAGTTTTACTTCAATCTGAGTTCCAATTAACTAAGAATGCTTATTAGACTCTGCACCGGGTACATCTGTAAAAAATAAAACAATGTTTCACCAAGAAGTGTTGTATCGTGATACGCCACTTCACTTTGCACGCTAATTCCCATAGTGCTGTGACGTATCTTAACAGCACCAGCATGAAAAGTGTGAATTCATCCTTTCACAAACTGTCCTATCCTCATATCTACCACGTGGCCACTATTACGCGCTATGCTTGAAGTACAATCAAGTCAGTTTTACAAAGTGACGTGTATCTTGGGAACTGAATATCTTAAAAACTAAGCAACTCAGAAGCAAGCGGATTGCACACGATGAAGTTGAAACTATAATGGTCTAGTTGAAACAAAACCGATTGAACTCTTAAACAGGAAGTATAAGTAATGAGCCGACCAAAATATGACCAGATTTATATCAGTTTTCTCAAAACACCAAAAACTGCAAAATGATGGTTCATGGTGCGACTGATGAATTGATACCCATGGACCTAGGAAACAACACATTTTGACAATGTTAGAGGTGATTCATAGGATCATTTAATAGATTGAAATCAACCTTTGACACTCTTATTCATTCTTTCTTAGGTTAAAAACAAAACTTGCTTCTTCAAGAAGTCAAGATGGCATCGAGTGTTACAGCTCAATCAGTGTTGGAGAAGATTAGTGTGGATCATCTGGAATGCTCCATCTGCACCAACCGTTTCAGGCAGCCCAAACTGCTGGACTGTTTGCATAGTTTTTGCCTGCAATGCCTCCAAGAGCTCAGACAGAGCCAAGATCCCAGTGCTACAAAGCTGACATGTCCTCTCTGCAGATGTGAAACCATGTTGAAAGGGTCTGGGGTTGCTAGTCTCCCTAATAACTTTGCATTCAGTGCCCTGGTGGAGGAAGTTGCAATGCAGGAAAAGCTACTGGAAGGTCAAGGGTCAGAGATCAAATGTCAAGCCTGTGATGAGGAGAATCAGGCTATTTCAAGATGCATGGACTGTGATCATTTCCTCTGTCAAGAATGTCAAAAGGCACATGGACGTATGACTTTGATGAAATCTCACAAAATCTACACACTGGCTCAACTTCGATCAGGAGAGATTGTCTATAAGAGTAAACTAAGAGAAGAAGTTCCCAAATGTGGCAAGCATCCAGATCAGAATCTCAATGTCTACTGCGACACATGTGAGCAAGTCATATGCCTAGCGTGTACTGTTCTCCATCATGGGAATCAAAAACATTCCCTCATCGGCCTATCTGAGGCTTTTGGAAAGTGTAAGAAAAAAGTTGAAGAACTTGTCTCGAAAGTTAGTAAGAGTAAAACAGAACTGAACACCACCATAGAGAAGACTTGCACAACTCGCAAGAAACTTGACAATGTGTTTGCAAACACCAAGAAGAAAATCTCAGAAAAAGCTGACCAAGAGGTTGCCGTGATCCGACAGGAGGAGCAGAAATTGTTAAAAGAGACTGACAGGATTTATAAAGAGAGAGTCACAATGTTTGAAGCTGCTCAAGCCAATAACAGCAAAGAGGTGACGCAGACAGAGCACAAGCTGGAGGAGGTCAAACAACTCATGAATCAAGCAAGTTGCTGTGAGATTCTTGAACTTCAGCAAAAGCTCTTGCATAACCTCAGTGAATTGACAGGGAAACAGCCACAGCAAGTTCCTGACAAGTTGAGCTTCATGGACTTTGAAGAAGGTGAGAGGTCACTTGGGAGACTCATTCTGGAAGAGCCACAGGCTGCAGAAAAGCAATCACCAAGACCTGCAAGATCATGTGTAAAGGAAAAATGGGAACTGAAGACTGAAGTCAAGAACTTTGAATTAACAAATGCATATATAGCACATATTGCAGCACTCTCTAGCAATAAAATACTTGCACTAACTAGAGGAATTTTTGAACAAAGAAGTGCACTATTCACAGCTTCACTTCCCAATAGTCATGAGGAACGATCTATCATACAAAGGCTACATATCAATGGCCTCACTAACTATGTATGGTGTATTGCAGCGAGCAAGGATGACAAGCTCCTTGTTCTAGATGGTCCAGTAGTCAAGGTCTTCAACAAGCAACATCAGCTCCTCCATCATTTCACACCAGGTAGAGGGTCAGACAAACCAACATGGCTTGCAGTGGATGACAGCAATCTGATAGCAGTGGGTTATGAAGGCAAGAAGGAGATATCTCTACACAACCCAGATGGATCCCTCATCAGGAGACTGCCTGCTCCAATGATTGGATATTATCTGACAATGCACAATCACCACCTTATCTACACAAACTATGACAACAAAAGGTTGGTATGTGTAGACTACTATGGTGCCAACAACAAAAGGTTGGTATGTGTAGACTACTATGGTGCCAGTGTATTCTCAGTAGACATGACCAGCAACATGGATGGGGACCCTACTGGTGTGTGCTGTGACAGTGATGGCAGCATCTATGTTGCTGTGAGCAGATATCCAACAGGTGATATTCTGCATTACAGTCCTGATGGCAAGTACATTGGATGTGTGATCAAGGGATGTGGTTATCCACGTGGCATCACAATCACATCAGGTGGTGATCTGGTAGTGGCTGCAGGACAGTCTGTAAAGGTCTATCACCGAGTGTAAGGACAGATTAATTCAACTGGGGCTATCCAGCATATCCTCCAACCAGCTTCCATCAGGCATTGAACATTGTCACTGAAAAAGAACTTGAAAGTACACTCCCTCTAATAATATTCTGCAATACTGTATATTTGGTTTATTGCGAAGGTCTTTGGTCTCTGTATGTGTTCTAATACCCTAACCACTTCCCCTTTCAAAAATCTTGGACTTCAACACCAAAACCACTTCCTATAAAATCTTAGATCTGGTGGTCCAATAATGAGAGCAAAGGAATGACCCTTCACATTGTTTGCAAATAGGGCAGAGTGCACATTTAAAAAATATTATCAACGAGAGGGAAAGTACTACCATGAAAGGGCAATTCAATTTCCTCAAATTCATCTTAGCAAAATGCAAAGTCAATGCATGATGTGTTTTCCAGTACAGTAAACTCCGGCTGAACTGGCACTCTCGGGACTTACAGGAATGGTCTTTTGCACACATCATTCATTGCACTCATTGGCTTCGATCTCCTTAATGCTTGAGTTGAATTAATCCAGCAAATTAATCCTTGAATTGTATCATCATGTTTGGGGTATTGCACAGTAACGAATTAAATGCGCACGCATTGACTGCAGCAGTAGTCATTCAGTAAGACGACCCCCAAAATGGACAGAGCGAATGCGTACAGTCAGAAGGGGTACTGGTATTGATATGATGTATGCAGCAAAGATCCTATATCACCGCGTAGTGGTATGCAGTAGGACACTCTTTTTCGACACTGATGTATGCAGCGATCACAAGCTGTGCGAAATCGCTTTTCACTCGACACTTTGCCAACCACAGTACAGGAAGTTGATGCCAATGCGTGAGTTGTTGAATGCCGACTTACACAAACGATTTTGTAATGCTTTTATGGAGAGGGGACCGAGAGTAACACGACGACTTGAGCAAAATGGTGACTTATAAAAGCCGACTTAGAAATAAAAAATTCAATGGAAATGCATTACTGACAATCGGGATTTTAGTCAGACAGCCGACTTGAGCAATTTGACGAGTTGTACGATGTCGGTTTAGCCAGAGTTTACTGTATAAGATATAACCCTGCTCCTGTATGAAATGTAAACATTTCCTTAAAGTTTGCTATACGATTTTTCAATTATTCACAAAAATTGTTGAGTTTAAACAAATGCAACTTAGTTTTGAATGAGAAAGAGTTTTCACCTCCGTATACATGAGACAAAAGTAAATACTCAAAAGCAGCTGGATGAAATATTTGTGATTTTGAACTCAAGCGGGAGTTAAAAGTAAATCATATGCAATCTTTCGGTTGTCTCTTTGACAGTGCTTTCTGATTCCCTCATCAAATAACTATTTAGTTTCATTACATTTACAACCAAGTTGAAATGAAAACCTTGTGCATAACACTGCAATGATACATGGATGTTTGTAAATGTGGTTAGTATGATTGATGTACATTTGTAAACTGAGATCTTGTTTTTTTTTGCCTTTCTGAAATGTGATTTTTTTTTTTACTTTAAATACTACAGTTTAGATGCATTTGGAACATTCTATGAATTTGGGGTCCACTTTTTCCTGTCCCTATATGTCAGGCATCTACGATTTTGTAACAGAATGCTTCTGAAAATCAAATGACTCACCCAAGAAATGTTAATTAGTTTGAAGTCATTTTTAATGCCACTTGAATGGCAAATTATATAAATTCAGAGGTTACAGGGACAGGAAAAATGTCCGACTTTGGACCCTAAATGTATAGAATGACCTACTTGTGAGAGGTTCCATATCATTACAATAATAGTTTAGTTTATTCCATAACTGATAGAGGCTTTTGTTTTTTTTAATTAAATGCTGATAAACCAAGTAGTCTAAATGAAGCAATGAGCATTTGCTTTAATTACAGATTCTCTCTCCAAGAGAATGCAGCTTCCATGACAACAATGGCATTTCAGCAAAGATCTAAACTCTGTTATTTTACCAATCAGCATCTGGAACTTTCTAAAGGTACCAGCGGCGCAACTAGGGTTGGAAGTTTTTTTTGTAAGTACTAGGATAATTTTATTTTTCATAGGCTTTTGTTTTCTCAAAGACTTTGGAATAGTAGTCTCTATTGAAAAGGTGGATACGATGAAAATGGAATGTCATCGGCATTTTCTTGTGTGGAAAAGGTCAAGACACACTCAGATTTACAGTATTATAGGAGAAACACTGGGGCATTGAAAACATCTAGTAAAGTGTTTATATTGTGTATGATTGGTCCAAAAGATTATAGCGGGCAGCTATTGAAAACATACATTTGTACATGTACAAACTCAACTACCCAAAATGTAATCAAGTTGTGCGGTTCTTCTAATACTTTGTAGATTAAATGAGATTAAAAACATTGCTAATTTGTGAAATAAATATATATATATGTACAACCATTAATTATAAGTACACTACATTGTAACTTCTACAAAATGAACTTACCTGTACATGGAAGTAAATTGGGGAATCTGTTCTTGTTTTTGCAGACAGGTTTCTGGGCTTCCTAATACAGTTGACTGCCACTGACATTTCAAATAGCACCTACAGTTCAAAGTGAACAAATTGACAACATACTACTTTTTCTCTTTCTAGCTCGGACTTCAATTACAATTAACAATTGTTGACAGGTGTGATGTGGGATATGACAACTCCCTAGGAGTGCATTTCACCTCTGGTGCTATGCACCCCGAGGGGGTTAAAACGGCATATCCCACATCACAGCGGTCAACAATTGTTTTGTTACATCATATCAGAAAGTCAATATGAAAAATGCTTGTAACCTACTATGCAAGAAATATTAAAAATCAGTGCGGTGTAACCGGTGATAACTGCAGGCTTACCCGCCAGACATGAGACTGAGTGGTTGTGCATACATTGCACTCAGCTCAGTCCAGCGCGCGCACAGGTCCAACACGCCCATGCACAACACGCATATGAGGTTAGCCATTGTATGTATGTTTTTATAGACTAGACTTGTGGCTCGTCTCGACCAATGACATTACAGTATCCGAGCAACTGATATATTAAACATATCAAGTTATGTTTTGCTGGCTTAAATGTTTAAGCCGTCGGCCGGATGTTAAAATTCATTCGCTTCCCTCCAGCAATCGCCGGTCTAGATTTTCTTGACAGTTTTACTGAAATACACTACCAAAGAATGATATTGTAGAAGTTCTCCACATTTCATCCTGCAGTTTTTGATAATTTGACTAGAAAAAGCGAACTATTTGTTCATTGTGAAAGTTCAAAAACATACTGCACTACGTTAAAGCTATAGTCCATCATTTGCAGCCATCCGAAAAGTAACTGGCGTAATTATTGTTGAAAAACAAACTTGGTTCAAAGATAGTAAGGAAACTAAACTCCCTGTGAAATTATTCTTTCTGGGAAGCTGTCATTTTGAAGTAATTAACGAAAGAAGGCAGTTCCAACGGTGATTCTTAAGAAGCACCGTAGGAAAATTTAAATTAGTAGTTCGTTTTGTTATTCAGCGCAGCGCGCACAAGTATTAGAACGACGCACACGCGCGCGCGGTTGTTATAATTTGTCGGATCAGTGCGCTACGTCGCGTAAAGCTGCAATTCAAAACAATTCAAAACATGATTCAGTAACTTTTGATTTGAAATTGAGATCTTAGAATGCTGTTTTTCTCGGAATGTACAGCTGAAGCTGAGCTGAAATTTCATCAGATTAGTTGCCCAGTATCCTTCATTAGATTTTGAACTCTTTTGTTGCTTCAAACGAACAAAATGCACAAATTACAAATGATGGACTGTAGCTTTAAAAAAATCCTTCACGTATGACGCAATCATACCACGTGACGTGAACTGTCTTACATGTATAAGACATCAGATAGGAAATTGTAGGTCATGACACCCAACAAACATGGCGGCGTCCATTGCCAATGGTGTGTCAACGTCTCACGTAAACATCAACCGATGCAAGTGTATTTGTTTTAATGCATATAGAATATGTCAAGTTTGAGGGAAAAAACAAAGGATCTTATGTCCGGGGATATTAGGCCTATAAGTTCACTGCCAAAGAGGGGATTGCAGAGTTTCAATATCCACATTTCAAATTGCACCTCACAAACATAAATTTGTGATGACTACATGTACATGATGATGTCAAGAATCCTACTACAAAAAAGAATTTAGAATTCAGCATGTTCTGTTTACAAGATATGGCTTTAGGTTTAAAAATTAATAAATTCATTACAAATCATACGATCATGTCATAGTGACGTCAAATTGATCCAATCGTCAAATCGATCTAAAACACATCCCGGTCTACCAACATACCAAATCTGAACCAAATCAGACTTGTAGTTCTCTAGATATACATGTAGGAACTTAAAATGTGCACCAATAGAGATGATGTCACGTGACCCCTGATGACGTCATG